CCCCAAAACCCCAAAACCCCAAAACCCCAAAACCCCGTGAGACCTTAGCTGAGCTGAAAGATACAAATATTCCATAAATTATCAAACAAATTGAGATTACTTCCTTCAAAAATGCTGTATAAATCCGTGTTTGTCAGCTAAAAATGTCAAATGGCTCATAATTTCCTACCTCTGGCTCCGCCCATTCCTACAATTGTGTTTCTCTGGTTGTACATGTCAAATAAATTTCTTGAAAATTAGAGAATAGCTTACTCCAGGTTATTTCTGCTTCTTCTTTAAGAAGTTATTGTGCATTCTTAGTGCCTTGAAGTCTAGGGAGGAAATCTTATTCCCACTATGAGTGCTGAAGTCTGATTGTATGTATTCAGAAATATAGCCAGTGTTCTGAATATTCTTAAAACTAGTTTGCATCTTCCTCAGACGCCTGGTGAGTTTAGAGCTTGGACTTTGATTGAAAGATTTGAACAAACTTCTAAATTTGCTTATCTTAAGTACCTTTCAGAACAATTAATTGTACTTGACTGGCTTGAAAGAGCCCGTTTTTGGCCTAAACTATAAAAATTCGGTACCTGGGAGGCCACATCGGGACTTATTTCTATTAATGAACTCACAAGTATCGTCATGACCTCTCTCTAGACCACATATGACCTCTTAGACCCATGCATACCTTACCTGACTTTATGGAGTATTTTCCTTGCCTAGAACCCTTATAAATCCCAAGGAGGAAAAGCTTGCAAAAACTTACGAGAAAGCAGTCAGCGGCCTGTCTGCTACTTTTATTTTGTACGTAATCACTGAGGGATCGTAATCTGTAGGCTTCTCGTCAGCCAGCTAGACGCTTTGGTTAGAACAAGGTTTAGGTAGAGAACTGACTTGGAATTTACGAAGAGATTTTGGAAGTTAAAGCCAAATATATGTTTCTGTGTAGTTACCTCATTGTCGTAACGACCTCCATTCGTGCTCTATAACAGTCAAAATTCCGCTTACGTATTCTGAATGTCTGCTGCAAACACTTTGGTTTAAACTTGGTTTCCGACATTTGCGCTTGCGTTGAAGCCTTTTACTGGAGAGGCTGGAGACTCTCTGCTTGATTTCTCTTCTACTCATGTCTCCCATCTTCCTTATCCTGATGACTCTCTTCATGTTGTCATCTTTGGGAGGTTTGTATACTGCGTTGAAGCAGATGGAGACCAAGCCTAGAGTTATTGATGGAGATACCTTTGTCTTTATTTTAGTTTAATTTTAGGCTTGCTCTGGCTTACGTGTTTGGTCATACTAGCAAGCACTATTCTTTCTTCAAAATCCATTTTATTTCAAAATATTTTACATATAAAGGGGTTTTGGGGTTTTGGGGTTTTGGGGTTTTGGGG